CTGTCTGTCTGTCTGTCTGTCTGTCTGTCTGTCTGTCTGTCTGTCTGTCTGTCTGTCTGTCTGTCTGTCTGTCTGTCTGTCTGTCTGTCTGTACAATTGCGTGAGAATGTTACCATAAAGCCTAAACATACCCCTGCATCGTATTCAACCCTGTTGAGGACCCACATCACAAAAGGAGGAGAGTCTGATAAAATGCCACAGAGAGGCCCGAGTGTGTCAGGACGGAGAACCCTTAAGTGGCAGTCTACTGTTGATAAGATTGTTCTTTACATTCGTCTGCCTGTACATGAACATACATGTCAGACGCACACATACAGCACATATAACAYTAAAATGTCACACAGATATGCAAACACAGGCTTGGCAAAACCCAAACAAGCCTCGTAATAACAGAAGACCCTCATGGGAGAAGACATGGAGTGCGACAGAGATCTGAGAAATATTTAAAAAAGAGACAAAGATCATCAGTCACACGGTCATTCTGCTTCTTGTGCTGCTTATCGGTATGTAAGCTGAGACTCTCTGTGTACATGTGGGTGTTGACAAAACATGTCCCGGTGTACTGCTGTTAGTGGTTTTAATGGCTGGCAGCTGATCAAGCAGCTTATGGATTTTCTGTAACTTAGACTACTAGCAAAAAGTTTTATTGGTATTTTGGCAGAAATACGAAATCCTGCCAGTACTGACCCCATTTTGCGCTAAAATTGTTACTACTTGTTGACACCATTCACACTCGCAAACAACAATAGACTGAAACGGTGGWGCTGTGGTTCAAGCTGTCGCCCCACAGCTCAGTGGTTGCAGGTTCAAAATTTGGKTGGTGCCTTCTGTACATACGTGTATCCTGCCTGGTATGGATGATAGACAAATTAATGAGGAAAGCAGAGTTGTAAAGTAACTAAGTACAAATACTTTGTTACTGTACTCAAGTAGAAATTTTGGTTACCTYTACTTTACTTGAGTAATTATTTTTTAGCGTACTTTTTACTTTTACTCATTACATTTTTACACAATTATCTGTACTTTTTACTCCTTACATTTTTTAAAAAGGTAAGAAGTAGAAAGTTGTTACTCCTATTTTATTCTGGGTTGTTATTATTTTTAAAAATACTATCCTGATAAATTGTGTCTCCTGGATAGAGTGAATTTAATTGTGGTTGGATGTGAAGTATAAATATATATCTTTCCGACACCGCATTATTTTGTACACAGTCCATCCCAGCTGCACGCTGTTAGAAAAAATATTTTTTGGAGAGTTAATTGTCATTTAGGAAGATCACTTTTACTCATTACTTTTACTTTTAAATACTTAAGTGGATTTTATGTCAGAAATTTACTTTTGATACTTAAGTACAAAACATATCAGATACTTTAAGACTTTTACTCAAGTAATATTCTTAGAGAAGACTTTAACTTTTACCACAGTATTTTTACGATAAGGTACTTGTATTTTTACTCAAGTATCACTTTGAGGTACTTTATACAACACTGGAGGAAAGCATACATTGGGCGGCTGTGGTACAGTGATTGTGCTGCCATCTTGAGACCAGAAAGTCACAGGWTTGATTCCCTGCCATATCCACATGTT